CCCAATTTAAAAGTCTCAATTATTTATTTTTAAAATACTTGGCATCTCTCTATGGAAAATGTACTTGCTTGGTTTCCAGTCTCTTAGAATTGCTTTGAACTCGCTCACATCTTCTGGGATCTATCAAATGCTCATTGTGGCTTTTCTCTCATAAGTGCTGAATGAGTTTAGCTATGATAGTCTGTATTGGATGTAAACTTTCTGCCTTTATAGTGTGGTAATAAGAGCAAAAAGGTGTCATGCACAGGAATGGTGATTTCTGTCTGGATGTCTGTCTTGCCAAGCAGAGGAGGAGCATCTGAGCAGAGAGCAGGAGCCTTTTATTTGTGGATGGGTGGCAAGAACTCATTCATTTAAAGCAGGCTCAGTTTTTGCAAGCCAGCGACATTTCATAAAGAGGGTTTAGTCATTCAGAGGCAATTGTACTTAATAAAATCAGAACTGATCTCTCGTGGGCAGTATTTCTCTGTAATACACATGCACATTTTAGACAGCCTGTCCTTACAAGGTCAGCGTGGTGGTAGCCCAGTTTTGACTCAAAATCTCATAAGCACAGAGCAGGGCCTGAGATTTTGCCAGGTCTGCGGAACACCAGATTCATGTAGAGCCTGGAAGAACTTGGGTGAAGAAAGGTGTTTCTGCAAAGAGTAGACTGACCCCAAGAAAGAGGGGATAATCTGCCCCAGGGCATGGTGAAGGGGTGTTGTAGCTGGTGCAAGCATAGAGGCAAAGATACTCCAGGCTAGGGAGTTACTCGAGTGTTGGATGTATGTGGTGTATTCATTTGTGTAAGCATTGACAGCTGGAAAAAAGTCTGGAGTGCTTGGAACCTGTAATGGTTGGGCACTGGATCTTCCTGGACAGAAGAGACTAGAAAACATGACATGGTTTTACAGGGTGACTGGCAATTATCTCCTGGGTTATGGCAGGGTGAGGGTCTTCTTTCTGATCCTCTGTTTTAAGGCACTTGTAACAGTCCAAAGATTTTGTGGATCAGTGAGATTTTTTCAGGCTTAATTTGTGGTGTACAGCAAATCTCTCTCAAGTTTGCATGAAAACAGTTCTACTATTTTAGAGTGTGAAGAGTGTCAAAGCATAAAGTTTTTCCATTAAAAGCAAACTCTTGCCCTCTCACCTGCCTTGGTAAAGCTCTGTAGCTGCGGTAGTTGTTGGTAGCATTTTAGGACAGAGAGAGTCTTCCTGCAAGAAAAGTGCCTTGGTGTTGCTATGGATGGTTTGTTTCAGCTTAGCCGTATCAAAATACTGAAAATTTCAATTTTCTTGGACACTACATGTTTTTTTACAATAGATCTTTACAAGGTAGACGCAAGCACACTGCTGCATTGCACATTGGAGATTAAGGAAGTCTGTGTAAACCTTTCCCAGCCTTGTTAGATGTAACGGGGCTAGATGTGAAAGACTTACGAGCCTAGTATATTGTGCCATAACAGAACAGGACTCTTATGCCCTCTGGGGCCTATGCCACTGGGAAGGCTGTTTGGAGCACTAACAGCGGGGATGTGGGGAACCGAGCATTCTGACTGCAGACAGTGTCACGCTATAGAAACTACAAAGTGTATTTCAGGCTTTCCCATTGCTAAGGAATTCAGAGACTTTAAAAGTGTGTATGTGTATCTATAGATATTTGATTTTGGTAAATAGAAGCTATTATGAAATCACATGCAAAAATGTACAAGAAAATGATGGTTTATGGTGCTGAAATTAGGCAGTGCCACAATTCAGGTTGGATGCGCAGCCTTGGATGGTGCTCCCTTCTGCACTTCATAAGTAGCATATTATAAGATGATCCAAATTTTCTTTGGCTTAAATGCCCCTTTGTTGCATTCTGTACTGCTGCTTTTTATGTACCAGGCAGAGACAGCAGAAGTCATTTATATGCAAAGTGCACCATATATTGTATATACTAATTATATAATAAGGAGTAATAATGAAAATTTTCTAACATGTTTAGGCCACTTAAGTATGCAGTGAAATTAATTTTATGGTTAACTGTCTTATTCCCGATTTGTACATAAAGAACATTATACCATCCATAGAAAATATTAAATTAAATATCTACTGATAAATGCGCTCAATAGTATGTATATTATATATAAAAGAACAAAAATACGTTCGATACATTTACATTTTATTGTAAATTGGGGAAAACAGATGAGACTATATTACGGAACAGAACAATATGTGATCACCTAATTAGAAAATTGTCATAATACTAATGCTCAGTGGCGTCCAGGTGTGGTTTTATGAGCAGCCTGAACCATGCAGCTTTGAAGATGTAACTTTACCATCTTCTTAACATTGTTTTTGCAGTGTATGCGTGTGTAAATTATATAACAGCAATTCCTGGGAGTTTCTACTTCTAAAATGTTCCTTCTAGCTGTATGAACACATAAGGAAGCTACTGTATGACAGATGATGATAATTTTTCATACAAGACAGTTTCCCTTGACTTGATGGATGCAGAGGGAGGAACCATGCTCTCTGGAAAAACACCAGGGAGCAGTGGTAAAATGTTTCAATGCGTATGGTAATCAAGGCAGAGTGTGGTTCTTGATTAGTCTGTGAAATTGCACTGCTGAGACGAGGGATCTGAATTAAGCACTTTTTTACCAAAGCCCTTTGCACTGCTATCCAAAAGTGTATTGTAAAAATTAATTTCCTTAAAATGCCGTGAGCAAAATTGATCCAAAATGATTTTGGCATATGCTGAACTCAATCAGTGATACTTTTCTTCATAAACTCCTATGAGAACTATATAGTGAGGTGCTTTATATAAGGTATACCTAATTTTAGTCTTTATTTTAAAGGGAAGTAAAATGTAATTTGTGAGTGTTTTGTGAGCTTTTGTCTGTGCTGGCTAAATTGAAGTTTAAGCAATTCTACCTGAAACAAACTGTTTCTAATTTCTACATCAATAAATGGCTGTACCTCAGTCTACATTTGTTCAAAGCACAAGTTGTCAGAACCTGGAGGCCCCACAAACTTTGTGAGAGATTATCAGCATCCCTGTGTGTGCTGTGAATACACTGGGAATAGGAAGGCCAAAATAGGGGAAGAAAATTGCTTTCAAATTTTATGAAGCTAAAGTGAGTGCCAGACAATTTTTTCATTTTTTGTGAGC